GGGACTCCAGGATCATGACCTGAGCTGAAGGCAGTCGCCTAACCAGCTGAGCCACCCAGGAGCCCTCCTGCTAATTTTTTAAAAGGGATACTGTTCCACAGGGTAGGGTAGGGGGTCGGCCCCAGATCATTGGTGACACGAATGGGAACCTAGAGTTCATGATATACAGGTCCCTTCATTCTGCTTCCCTCTTCTTATAACCCCGGGGCCTATCAGGACGCTGGGGTATCTGTTGGGAGAAGTGTCCAAGAAGGATCTTCAGGCTGGAGGATGGGAGGACAGATTGCAAAGAGTTACCTTAGGTAGATTGTTTATTAGTGTCTTAATTTTTCCCAGATGGAAAAAGGGGGTAATAAAATACCTAACCTGTGTCATTGTAAGAATTAAGTCAAAACAATACCCGTAATACATTTAGTCCAGTGCCTGGCGATGTTTATATGAGGCCAAAATGTTCCAGGTAAGCGAGGGTCACAGCGGATGATGTGAGTGGATCATCACGATTGCTGAAAGTGCCTAATCCAGAACTACAATATTTCAATAGAATGTTTAGAGGAAACTTTAAAATACTGAAAAAGGCTATGTCAGTCAGACAGTAGATTGACTTTGGCTTTTAAGTCCCACAGAAATCCCAAGAGAGGGGGGCCCCTCAGAGTGCCTGAATTTCTTTTCCAGACTCACCTCTACCCCGGCAAACTGAAGTCTGGGGCTTTCCTATCTCCAGGCTTTTATTTAGCCATTCTTTGCAACTGTGGTGTTTCCTTTTTTTAACTTAAGTTCTGCCTCTTTTGTTGGGTGGGTGTGTAGTGGGTGGTCTGATGGGAACAGTGGTTGTTTGTTTTTGTTTTTGGCCTCAGAGCCAGACCCAGGAGCCTCCTGATTACCCCAGCTTTGTGGAGTCTGTGGATGAATACCAGTTTGTCGAGCGCCTGTTACCCCCCACCGGCATCCCAAAGCCCCCAAAGCACGAACACTATCCCACTCCCAGTGGTTGGCAGCCACCCAGAGGTGAGCTGGGCGATGGGGATGGCTTGAGGTTTACAGAGGGAAATCTCCCTCTCCCTAGTGAGTGGTCTACCTCCCCAGTTGAGGCTCTGGATTCCCCAGTAGGTTCAGGACTTGTGTGGAGGTGTGTCAGGGCTTAGCATCTGTCTCATGTTCAAGGAAGGGCCTGGGAATGCAGCCCTGTTTTACTGGTACCCATCCACCCACACTGTCGGGATGAGGTCTTCCCATTCAGGAAAAGTGAAGCATAGAAGACCTCTAAGAGCTGGGACCCCCACTCCCACCCGAGTAAGTCTTGTACCATAATCGAGAACACAGCTTGGTAGTTGGGCAGTTCTGGGTTCAGATTTGGCTCTGCTATTCGTTGCCAGTGTGATCATGAGTTAGTCACTTAGCTTCTCCCATCCTCAGTTTCAGCAAAACGGAGATAATCTGCTCAGTACATAAAGCACTCAGCACAGAGCCCAGCATGTGGTAGGTAGGTGTTCAGTGCTGTAAATCCCCATTTCTTTGCGCCAGAGGTTATTAGCCTCCCTGACCCAGGGAGGCCCCAGATCGGGACCTAAAGATCCAGGGAGGCGTGGCCCTAACTTCTTTTCTTCTTGAGCACCTTCGGCTGCCAGGCCCTATGCTGGGCCTGTGAGGTTACCAGGTCGAACCAGCTGGTCCTGGCTTCAATTTAGGGAAAGAGCAGGTCTTCTGACCTGAAATCTAGAGGTGGCTTTACCATTGGGTGCACTGAGTCTCTGTAGACTGTGAGGGGAAGGGCGTCGGCTAAGGTGGCATAAAGCCTGGGGAGATTTGGCTTCTCACCATTCTTCCATGTAACAGACCCCCCACCCAACCTGCCCTACTTTGTGCGGCGCTCTCGAATGCACAACATCCCTGTCTACAAGGACATCACACATGGCAACCGCCAGATGACTGTGATCCGAAAGGTGGAGGGGGACATCTGGGTAAGTGAGGGCGTGGGACAGGGACTGATTCTGACCCTTTCAGGGCTGAAAGGATGGGAGTCTACTAGAGGGGATGGTCTGACCAGGCTTGATTTATCATTGTCCCCCCTCTCCCTCCCCAGGCCCTGCAGAAGGATGTGGAAGATTTTCTAAGTCCACTGTTGGGGAAGACACCTGTCACCCAGATCAATGAGGTGACAGGTACCCTGCGGGTCAAGGGCTACTTTGACCAGCAGCTCAAAGCGTGGCTCTTGGAGAAGGGCTTCTGAGGCCCAGCTGAGCAGCCTGCATGATAGCATCCCCCACAGACTAGAGTCCAGGGGGTCTCGGGAGGAGGGAGGTGGCTGTTGGAACAACTGGGACAGGAGGTATAAATGCCAGGGCTACGAGCTTGGGCAGGGCAGAGTCAGGGCTAAAGGGCTTCAGGGCAGGCCTCGCTCACATTAAGGGGGAAACAGGACCCTCTCTACAGGTGCCAGCAGTGGGGGAGGGCCGCCTGAGTGGAGACCCTGCCTTCATTGGAGCTCATTGGGCTCAGCTGTTCAAATTCTGGAGGTTGTTGACTGGTGAAAGTAATAGCCCAACCCAGTTTAGGGGAGGCTAGCACAGGGCAAACCCACCGAGTACATTTCTTCCTTGGCTCTTAGACCCTCACTGCTGCAGACATTCTCAAGCCCTTGCTCCAGGCCAGACCTGGTTCGGTGGAGGCTATGAAGAACACAGAGGACTCAGGCATGGGTCCCGGACATCTTCAGTTCCAAGTGCAGGCATAGAAGGTCCATGTCAGCCCCTGGGCTCCTTCCTTTTACCCATGGATAAGTAGAAGGCCCAGTCACCTTGGCTCCATTCTAGGGAGAGTTGGGTCTGATTACATTTCTAGCTCTAAGAAGCTAAGTGATCAGCTTGAGCTGGTCTTTCCACAAGGGGGTGCTCGGGAGCTCGCAACAGTCTTCCCAGCTTGCTGGCCTGGTATCAAGGCTGGACAGGGGCTTTGCAGGAAGAAAGATGCTGGCCTTTTGCCCCTGCCATCCTGTCCCACCCCCAGCCAACGAGCCTTCACATTTGCCCCATTCTTGGGAGTTACAAAGGTCACAGGTCTGAGTTCCCACCCTCATCCCACCCTCCAACTAGTTTGGGACAGGGTTCAAAGCCTGACTCCCCTACTTGTCCTCTGACCTAAGGCAGGGAACTTAACCTTTCTGGGGCTCAGTTTCTTCGTATGGAAAATGGGGATATCTTCATAATAATTTAATGACTTGTCTAAAGAAACCCACACCCCTGGGGATTCTCAAGTCGACAGCCTGAGCAAGAAAAAGCAGCCTGGCACACTGATCCTGGGACACCAGCTCCACCAGTCATTAACGCGAGTCTTTATTTGGCTGTATATACAATTTAAGCTATTAAAATTTGTACAATATTTACAAATTAAATAATCATCTGAAACTGTCTCCAGCCACTCTTGTAACACAGAACCGAGGGAAAAAAAGACGGGGGCAGGCGGGCCTCGGCTCCTGTGGTCCCTACCTGGCCCAGGGCCTTTTCTAAACTGGAGAAACCAGGAGGCTGACATTCTTGCTCCTCTTTGCTAGGATCAAGCATTCAAGTTAAAGACAAAATTAAGCCAAAAGACAAGGAAGTAGTTCCAATTCTTCTAAACTCAAGAGAAGTTCTGTAAGTTGAGAAGTGGCCTTCCACAGATTCTGGGGCTTGCAGTGGTTCGGGAGCAGACACGTGAGCCCTCAGCCTGGCGTGAGGCTGGGCAGTGGTTGCTGGGTGAGACCAGGAACGGTCGCACTTGATAGACAAACTGCAGGGAGCGGGGGGACCTGGGGGGAGGGCCAGGGCACCTCGTGATGCCCCCCTACTCCTCCACCCCCAGGCCCTCCTTTCCCTGAGCTGTGCGATTGCAAGACGTGGAAACACCACAGGGCGTAAGTGACACAGCCGCCATCACAGAGGATTCTGGGGAGTTTAGGGTAAGAAAGGGACGGCAGTACCAGTCTTGGTGGGTGGCCCAGGGAGCAAGTTCCTGGCCTGCCTCCAGCCCCTGAAGTTCACACATGGGATGGGGGAGCTAATACTGTTTAGCACTGAAGCGACTTCACTCACACACAAAGTGGGGCCTGGAGGGGCTGCCCCTTCTCCCAGAGACTGCGGTGCGCCTCCTGCCTTCACGGCCCCAGTGGAACAGGCTGAAGGGTGGGAGAGAAAGGCTGGAACGGACCCGAGATCCCCATGGCTGCCCGGGTCTGCAAGGGCTGGGGTCAACTGGGGCCTCAGGCATCTTTCCACTTGGCCTAGGGGATGCCACCTCCTTTGTCTCAGAGCTGGGGGTCGTTACTCCCTGGCGCACACAGACAGGGAGCGGGCACTTGGTGGCAGGATGTGTTACAGCAAGGGCTGCTCAAGAGAGCGGAGGCAGGGGCAGGACTGGGGTAGTGTCAGTGGGCAATAGGGGACTCCAACTTTTGCAGGCGGCGGCGACGGAGCTCTGCTGCATCTGGCTCCCCATCCTCCGGTAGCTCCTCTGTGCCTACTGACTCAGGAGCTGGGGACAGAGTTCAGAAGTGGAACCGACAGAAGTTTCTTCCCTGCTCCCCCCCTCCCCAGGCTGACCGAGACTACCTGGAGGCTTTTCAGGCTCAGGGGCTGGTGGGGAGACTCCTGGGGATGGGGTGGTAGCCTCAGAGCTGGGGATGCTGGTGGGGGGGGCAGTAGGGACAACTGCAGGGGCAGTCTCCTCAGTGGGGCTGACTGAGGTGGCAGGCCGGGGGGGCCTAGGAAGAGAAGGAAGAGGCAGGTGAGGCCTTGACATCCTGGCATGACTGGGCAGATTCTCCTGCCCCTTGTGAGCCTTGCAGGGTAGCGTCAGCACTGACGTCCGTCTGCAGCCTGAGTTAGCAGCAGACACAGGCGAACGTCCTCGTGGGTCCATACCACAGATGGGCTGTAAATCACCAGCCGGCGCGAACCGTCGGCCTTGTTCATCCTGACACTGCACTCTCTAGAGAGTGCCAGGCTCTTTACGGGGCACCCGAAGGCTTTGCACTGAATAAAACTGCACTCAATCTCAGACTCCAGCTCCCCTCCAAGCCTGTGCGGTCACTGCTGTGTGCCAGGCACTCTGTGCACGTGATCTGTGGACAGGACTTAGAACCCTTCTATTCAAAAAAGGTGACAGTGGTGACCGAGCAAGTGAGTGGTGGGACCAGGATTTGAATTTAGGCCAGGCTGGCGCTGGGGTGACTTTATTTGCTGACTCAGATCAGGGGTAGTGGTTCCCAGGCACATGGTCACCATATGTGAGAAGAGCATACATGATGAACTAAAGCACTAGGAGTTAGGAGTAATTTGATTTTAGGAAAACATAAAGGAACAAGATTCAAAATCAGCTCTCTAATCAATGTCAGTCCTGGGACCCAGCAGGCCTTCTTCAGCGAGAGGACAGAGGCCTCGAGAACCTGGAGATCCTGGTATGCTACAGATAGGTCAGCCTGAATTAACAGGCATCACGGGGTGGCAGAAGAGAAAAAGGCCAAGAATCCTGGCCGGGGGCCTTCTGTTGGCAGCTCCACACTGCCACCGCCCATCCCGGGGCCCCGCACGGACTTACCCCAAGGAAGCGAGCACGGTGAGGTACTGGTTGATCTGCAGCATGGCGGCATCCAGCAGCGTGTGGATGTTGCGCAAGCTCTGCAGCCGAGCCTCCAGGTGCTGCCGCTCGTGGCCTTCCAGAGCCCGCAGCTCCTCTGGGGTCAGCCCAGCAAAGCCCGCAGGGGGCACGGGCATTGGGGGGAAGGCTGGAGAGAGGCAGAGGCTCAGCCTGGGCCTAAGGCCCCCCGCCTTCCAGATCAACCCCGAGTGTGGCTGAGCTTACCAAAAGGTGGAGGCAGCGGCATGCCCATCCAGGGGGGCGGGAAGGGGAAGCCTGGGGTGGGGCCAGCCTCAGAGGCCGGGGCGGAGCCAGGGGCGGGGGCCGAGGCAGAGGCCGCAGAAGCAGCGGTGGTGGCTGCTCCACCGGGCCGAGAAAGGGCTGCTGAAGAGTAAGAACAGGAAGTTGGGGAGTGTTAAGAGGCCTCCGCTTCCATTCCTCCCACCCCTTGGCTGTGGCAGTCCCCAAAAGACTCACCTGCGCTGGTGGATGGAGGGGCCACAGCCTCTCCTGAGCTGGGGGGAGGTGGGACAGGTGGGAAGGGGCCCATGGGGGGCCAGAGCGGGAACATGCCTGGAGGAAAGGGAGGCAGGAGGCCCTGGGGGACTGCAGAGAGAGAACAGGGCGGTGAGAAAAGGTCCAAAGTGAGAGAGAAGCAAATCACACACGAGAGGCTGGCCGTTAGGAACTCTGTCCCTGCTCCCGAGGGCCTCTCTGAGCTTGGCACCGATGACACATGATTACAACCCATTGATGGCTCTTCCTATGACTCCCTTCCCCACCCGGACTGAACTTCTGGAGGACAGGGAGTCTGATTCATCTCCGTTTCCCATACCCGGCTCAGGGCAAGTACTCAACAGGGTGTGTTGGATGGCCAAATGAGGGGGCCACTCACAGTTGGGGGGCTGCGGCAGAAGTGGTGGGGGATGAGCAGCTGGCGGTGGCCCTTGATCCGCAGGTTCCGGGGGCGGTGGTGACTGGGTCGGCAGTGATGCCCGGAGGACGTCCATACGGCAGGTAGGGCAGGTCTGCTGCCGCTGGAACCAGGAGCGCAGGCAGCTGGGGGGTCAAGACCAGGCGATGGTCGGCAGGTCCCTGGGGGCCTGCCTTCCAGAGCCTTTCCCCTTGTGTCAGGCCCCCTGGGGCCCCTCCCACCTGGTGTGGAAAATGTGGTTGCAGGGCAGTCTCTTGGCACCAGTCACCATCTCTTCTCGGCAGATGATGCAGACATTGTCCATTGCCTGGAGTTCCTCCGGGGTGGCATCTGGATACCTAGTTAGGACAGGCCAAGAATACGTCAAGACCAGAGGTGCAGACGGGGGAACCTGGGGCAGCGCTTGGGACGGCAGCCGGACCGGCCCACTTACAGCGTGTTCATGTTGCGGATGGCTCGGCGAGACATGATGGCATCCGTCACAGCCTTCTTGAACTGCCTGAAGGGCCAGTTTTGGTGAAAGCTGGGTGAGGGGGGCGGTGAGGATCAGGTATGGGTCGGGGGCAGGACAGGCTGGGCTGGGCTTACCTCATGGCCAGGTACATAGGCCGGATGGCAAAGAGAGGGAAGGTGTGCACCTTGATCATGATGGTCATGAAGGCCATGTAGAGCAAAACCTTGATGAAGCCTGGGGGCAGGGGGAGGTGCAGAGAGCAACAGTCACAGGGCCTGCGAGGCAGGGCCGGGGGCGCTGGGCCAGGCCAGGGGAGGCCCAGGCTCTCCTCACCTGTAAACAGCTCCGTGTAGAGCATGTAGACGGCCTTGTTGTCCCAGGGGTTCTCGCTCTGCAGGTCCACAGAGTGCAGGACGTACTTGATGAAGATGGTGAGCACCATAGTCATCAGGATGGCGTACTGGAGGGGGAGGGGGAGGGGGAACCATAAGCACGCAGCGCCCCCTGGCAGCAGTCACACTCTGCTGGTGCCGGGCGCCGGCTGGGACATGGCTGCGTCCTCCCAGCCCCTCCTCTCCCAGGCTGGTATCGTTTTTTTTTTAATTAATTAATTAATTAATTAATTTTTATTTATTTATTATTCATTCATTCATTCATGAGCGACAGTGGGGGGAGAGAGAGAGAGAGAGAAGCAGGCTCCCAAGGAGGAGGGAGCCCGATGCGGGACTCGATCCCAGGACCCCGGGATCCTGACCTGAGCCGAAGGCAGACGCCCAACCATCTGAGCCACCCAGGCGCCCCGGGCTGGTGTCACTTCTGGCAACTCACCAGACCTCTCCAGCCCAGGCGGCCCATCAAATGACAGAATTAACTGTCCCTTCGTCACGACATGGCTTTGCCGATGAAAAGATGCAGCCCAAGTGCTCAGCACAGGGTCTAGCGTACAAGTGAGCACTCAACCAGCGGGAGCTGTTATCACCTCCTCCCCAGCTGTCCATCAGGCTAATTAGGTGTGCGTGTGTAGAAGGTGGGAGCTGACACTGACTGACGGCTGCTGCTCGGTGGCCCGCACAGGCCTGGCCCCAGAACAGGTGCCCAGTAAGGGCTTGTTGCGTTCTTCAAGCCACGTTCAGTGCCACCTCAGGCTTGTCCTCCCAACCTCCCAAGCCAGTTTTACCTCAAAGCCAAACACCAGCTGCACAGAGGCCCCACGGGTCAGGATGCTGTGATAGGCATGGCTGACGAAGAGGAAGTCCAGGATACCCAGGAGGAACATAAGAGCTGTGGGGGCCCCCCAAATTGGGGGTTGGTGGGGTCAGCGCAGGGCCTGAGAGCCACTTCCTGCTTTAAGACCCGTCCCTCCCCCCTTCAAGCCCACCCTGGCCCTAGCCATCTCGTCAGGTGGCACACTCCATTGACCCCAGCCCCCTGGGAACTCCAGTTTTGCCTAAGAGGGTATTAGAGCGGCCCGAGCTCCAGGTGAGGAGGCCAAGAGCTACGGGGCTGGGCAGCTAAGAAGCCCCGGAGTGGAACAGGGCAGAGATGATGCAAATTAACTTCCCAATTTATCTTTCCTGTACAGCTGTGGGTCAAGGGGTACGCCTGTGCTCTAGGGTACAGGACCCCGGTTAGTGACTTGTCATGTTCCAATCGTCCACGGTGCCTCTTCTTCCTCCAGCTCCCTCCTCCCCCCTCCCATGGATCTCACTCACAGACAATGCGGCAGTGAAAGAGCCAGGAGATATTGGGGCTGCGTTCCATCTAAGGCAGAGCAGAAAGGGGGCCCATCAGGAAGGCTGGGGCTCACCCCACATCCCCAACCCAGCCTTCACTGCCCAAGCCTATCCACCAAGCCATTCCCTGGCTCCCATCTGCTTCAGAGAACCCCCTGACCCAACTCACAAAGTCCACACGGTCCTCAGCCAGCCAGTGAAAACACTTGAGGAAGAGAAGGAGAGTGAAGAGTGCAACAAAGCGGGGGCTGAAGTCGTCCCGAAAGACGGTGAAGGCCAGACAAGTCTCAGTGACAGCATACCAGGAACGTTCCAGAAGGTGCTGGGGGGTGGACAAGGAATGATGAGGAACTCAAGACATTCGGCTTGCCCAGCTCCCTGCCCCTCACTTTTGGAGTCCTGAACATCTTACCTCCATCTCTGCGGCCCTCAACTGTCCAAAGAACACCTTGCCCATCACTTTGCCCAAGAGAAAGACAAGGACAAAGGCCTGGATGTAGAGGACCTAGGAGTGAGAAGAAGCTATGGTTTGAGGTCACTTTCTGCTCTGCTATGTCTGGGGCTCATCATTCGGGAACCTCCCTATGTCCCCATCCCAATTCAAAGTCAGGCAGCCAGTGGGCTACTTGGCTTCTCTCCTACTTACCTGACCTCTAGCTCCGCCCCTGCCTCAAGCAGACTCCTCCTCCCCGCCCAGGAAGTTCCCCCCGACCCTGAGCCCCGAACTCACTGCCATGCTGGGGCTGGACTTGGTCAAGTACACCACAGTGGGGTAGAACTGGTGCTTGAGGTAGTAGGCATGAGCCACGACGGCCCCAGTCAGCGCCAGGCTGGCCGCCATCATCACTGCGGTGCGGAACATTGCCCTGGCCTGGAGACCTGTGTGGGGAAAGGGAAGGAACGACCTGTGTGATACTCACACTGTGCAAACTCAGCACAGTGCACGACATGCAGTGTCACTAAATGGGGGGGGGACAAACCCGTCTCACCTCACCCTCACAATCATGACGTCAAGAATAGCATACGCTCCCCCAATTTACAAATAAGAAAATGGAGGCTCACAGGGGTTAAGCGAGCCCACTGACGCAAGGCCTGGAGCCTGGGTCAGTCTTGTTTCAAATCTAGGGCTTTCCACGCCGCCTGCCAAGCCGCCGCCTCTAGGGAGGCACGAGGAGAGGCAATCGTGCTGGAGGAGGGGGAACCGCTACCACGGCCTCTGAAGAGAAGATGATGGGGAGGATGCAAACGCAGAAACCTCCAGAAGCAGGAACGTGCCGCCTGGACTGTGAGAAGCCAGGCGCTGGGGGGCGCAGCCGGGCAAGCGACAGCGCCGGTGACAGCTCGGCCAGGGTGGGCAGCTGCGACGCGCGCCCGGCGGGAGAGGGCGGGGTACGTCAGCCTGGAACCCTGGCGTCCCCCAACCCCCGGGGCAATGTCCACTTGGGGGCAGCGGAGAAACGGCCGATCGCCGGGATGTAGCGGTGGCACGGAGAAGGACCCGGGGCGCCCCCGCACCTGTGATCGCCAGGAGCTGCGAGCGTCGCAGGCGGGGCCCAGCCTCTGGAGAGCGGCCGCGCGGGCGCCTGAGGTCTACGGCCAGCTGACAGCTGCGAGCCGGGCTGAGGGGCCGCGCCGACCCCGGAGCCCTCAAGGGGAGGGCCCAGGTCCCGACTCCCAACCACAACCCGGGCCCGACCCCGGCCGACTCACCAGGAGCCCAGCGCCGCGAGCCCGCTCGATCCCCGCGACTGCGGAGGCGGCTCCGGTTAACAACACTCCCCACCCCCTGCGAGCCGGAACTTCGGGGGTGAGACACCTCACTTCCGGCGGGGCTCAGTGTGGATCGTACCAAGTGCACATTTTCTTTGGCCGCACCGCGCACCCTCCGTGGTGCCGGGAGTGGTGGCCCCACCACTGTATCTAGGCTTCGTGCCCACGGTCTGAGCAAGAGATGCGAGAGGTGGTCGGAGCGGAATAGGGCAGCCCGGCAGGTGGCTGGAGTCCCCCCGCTTATTAGTCCCAGATGGTATCGTCTCGGTCTCCAAGTGGACTCAACCTAGGGGAGGACTCAGGCTCTTAAGGCGGGGAGGCAGGTGGGGCTTTGTGCGGGCCGTACCACTTGGAGGGGGGGGGACAGTGTGCAAGGGACAGACATTACAGGCTTAAGAGGAATAAAATGTTTTCGAGTCACATTTCAGAAGATTTCAGAACAATTTGACAAATAAGATGCTTTCCTGGAGAACTAGATTCAGAAAAGAAAAATTTGCTCCTCCATGATCACCCCCGAATTGTATGGGAGTGTGTTGGGTCCCCGTGGCTGCCACTAATTGGCCGAGATAGACTTACGCGGACCAATAAGAAAAAGGAAGGAAATTTGCCGGCCTATGGAAAGAGCAAAGCAGGTGAGCGGTTGCTAGGCACGAAAGGCAGCGTTGCCTAGGTCTAGGTCCAACCCGAGGGGGGCGGACAGTTGGCGGGGAGGCGGGAGGGCTGCAGTCCGTGCGCGGGTGATCTGTGTCTGCCCAGGGGAACGTTCACTGCGCCACGAAAGGGTGACGCAGGCTGGTGTGTCTAGGACTAAGAAGGCAGTTCTTTAATACTGGCTAATCTTGGGATAGTGTTTTGTGCAAAGGGACTGACTTCAGCTTCCCTGTGCCTACAGCCTTGCCCTCCTTGTATTATCGACTCCCTGGCCATAACCGCAGCTACCACTGGTCCTGGGCTGCCCAGTATTTACGTTTGTGTCTCAGTCGCAGCCAAGCCGGTCTGCTCATTGACAGAATGAAGCCAATACGCCCAATTTGTGTCTTGCATTTTCCTCTGTCTAATGTAGCAATCACCAAAGTGTATGGGCTAGGAGGTGCTCTGCTCATTTTGTACGTGGGACAATGGAGGTTCAGAGATTTAACGAGACCTGTTCTAGGATTGGCATCGGGTCTGTCTGACGCTAAATTCCCACCACCTCCTGAATTGGCCTAACCAGTTCAGCCTGTAACCTGTCACAGAGTTGGCTCCCTGCCAAGGCCATGTGTTACTTTCTAGTGACTGCATCCAGTGGTGAGCTTTCAGTTCTTGCCTGACTCGACCTCTCTCCTCTTCTAAAAAGTCTCCTCCCTGAGCTTCTGTGATCCCACAGGGCTCTGCTTTTCTTTCTGGCTGTGCATTTGCCCCTTTCCTCGTCTGTCCTTTCCTCTGTCTGTCCCTTCCCCACGTGTCCTAGATGTTGGTGTCCATGTTGGCCCCTTCTGTTTGTTTTCTCTGCATAAAGCCCTCTGCTCTTGTGGATTCCACACCCCCATCATGTGCTAATGACTCCCAGGTCTGGTCTTCACCTGGAATAGCTCCTTTTTTTTTTTTTTTTTTTTAAGATTTATTTATTTATTTGAGAGAAAGAATGAGAGAGAGAGAGAGAGAGAGAGCACATGAGAGGGGGGAGGGTCAGAGGGAGAAGCAGACTCCCCCCGAGCAGGGAGCCCGACGCGGGACTCGATCCCGGGACTCCAGGAACATGACCCGAGCCAAAGGCAGCCGCCTAACCAACCGAGCCACCCAGGCACCCTGGAATATCTCCTGTTTTTAAAAACATTTCGGTGTTCCTAGTCCTCCACCCCTAACCCCGGCTTCAGAAACCTGAGCATCTTGTTCACCGTCTCCCTCTCCATCTGTCCCCACACCCAAACTGGTAATGAAATCATTTATTCAGTTGTCTACAAATGTGTCGGATGCAGCCTGTTCTAGGAACTTAGGATATCAGTGAACAAAATAATGATCTCTGCCTTTGTGAAGTTTTACCCTGGTGGATGTGATGGATGATAAACCATATACATAATATAAGTGAATTCTCTACTCTGTTGGGAGGTAATAAGTAGGTAATAAGTGCTATAGGCAAAAAGCAGAATAAAAGGGATCAGGAGTGTGGTAGGGTGCTTGAAGCAGGTTGCCGTATCAGTGAGAAGCTGAACAAAGACTTGAAGGAGGAAGGGGCGTGAGCCAAAGGGACGTCTGGGTAGAGTCTCAGCTGGTTAAAAGCTGAACTGTCCTGGTTTGTTGGGAGGAGGTGAGTGTGGCTGGAGTGGAAATAGCAGAAGGGTAAGTGGGAGGTGGAGGCAGAACCACAAGGACTTTGGCTTTTACTCTGACTGACATGAGGAGCCACGGGAGGGTGGTGAGGAGAGGTGTAACGTGCTCTGTTTAGGTCTAAAAGGCACCCTAGCACCTGTGTTATTGAATGTAGTGGGGTGGGGGGCCAAAGTGGGAACAGGGAAACCACTTAGGAGGCTCTTACAGTATACTACTCAAGAGATGAAGTCCTGGGCGCCTGGGTGGCTCAGTTGGTTAAGCGGCTGCCTTCGGCTCAGGTCATGATCCTGGAGTCCCGGGATCGAGTCCCGCAT